GTGCTCCATACGGTTTTCAATGGATACTTTTTGGAAGTAGATTGCCAGGTCTTTCTTCCAAGGTGCTTGTGGGTAGATTTGAACCTCCAACCTTTCAATTAGCAGCTGAGTGCGTAAACTGTTTGCACCATTCAGGGAATCCACCACTCAGGGAGCAAGTAAACCGTTGCCCCAAGATGGAAAATAGGTAACAAAACATTAATGAATTGGTATTATCTATCCAGATTTCACTGTTGAGGAGGATTCAGAGGTTATGTCTGGACTTACGAAGAAATGCCATGACTGACCACTGATACCTGCCATGGGTCTACAAGGAGAGAATCCAGTACATACGTCATATATGTGTTTGTTTGTTTAAATCTCTCACCAATAATCAGTGCTCTTCAACTTCTTGAATCCCACTGGGATGGGCATACAAGGAGAAGAGAGGGAGAATGAGGATACCCACCAAGCTAACCAGATCAGAGGAATCAACCGTAGCTACCAATGTGGTGACTTATATTCCTGCCAGATTGCCTCACTGTTCTTTGTAACGTCTAGAACTATGGCATGTAGTGGGTGCTCAATAAAGACTTACTGATGGATTGAAATTAGGGTATGGACAAATATTTTCACAACAGAACAGTCTCATCCTTTTTTGATAACCCTGTGTCAAAAATGAAGCCCCGGTGGCACAGTGGTTAAGAGCTCAGCTGCCAGCCAAAAGCTTGGCAGTTCAAATTCTCTCCACTGAGTGCCTTCCAACTTATGGGGCAGTTCTACTCTGTCCTATAGGATCGCTATGAGTCAGAATCCACTTGATGGCAATGGGTATGTCAAAAATAGTGCTTGGCACTTAGTAGGTGCTTTAAGATTTCTTATGGAACAAAAATATGACTGTCAAAGTGGGGATTGTGAAGCTCTAGATTATCAGTGAACAACCCCATCTGACATAAAATTGAGATATATTAAGCCGAGGACTGTACCACGTGCATATAAATAATATGTCTCCTGTATTCTTAGAACCATCCCTCAAAGTTGCCCAAATGGCACAAAAGAAAAGGGGGATTCAGAAAACTATCTTCTAACATGTGGGATTTTATGAGTCAAATCACGGGGAAAATCTGACTCCGTATAGACTTCCATTCGGTATGTGATGCTTCTTCCGTAGGCTCGGCTAGCATGATGTCAGGAGTTCCGCCCGGGAGTCGAAAGAGCGTGGGGGAATAAATCCAACATTGACTCATGCTCAGTGGAAGAAACCTACACCAAAATCTGGATGAGATAATTCAACTGTAAGTACTAGGGATGTGACTGCTGATCACAGAGGAAAAAGGGCAACCAAGGTGTGAGTTTTGTCTTACTGACTACCTACTCAGTTAATACAGAGCGTAGCGTGAGATACGATCGAAAGTCTTGCTGACGCTTAATACACAGCTATAGCCAGTTTTCAGAAAGAAAGCCTGGCTGAAAAGAAAAAAGAAAGTTATTAGCCCCTCTGTGTTAGTAATACGGTCACACCTTGGCTCCTGGTGGCTTTGCAAAGACTTTTAAAGGATATCTTAGTGGTGAATTATTCTGCAGTCTCAGTGTTGATTAAGCCAACAAAGTGTGAAACCTCTAGTTTGCATGTGTAACATGAGGTGTTTTACACGCAGAAAAGAGAGAGAAATGTCTTCTTTGTTCGGCAAACTTGATGAGACAGGAAAAGATCATAAAAGGATATACTATTGTGGTGACAACATTAAAAGATGAAAACTAAATAGCAGGTGATTTTTTTTTTTTTCTTCTGGCCTGGGATGCAAGAATGGCTACATAATTACCAGGGCCCAGTGCAAGATGAAAAGACAGGACCCTTGTTAAGAAATTATTTGGAATTTCAAGATGGTGACAACAGAGCATTAAACCAAGTGTGGGACCCTTCTAAGTGCGGGGCCCTGTGAGACTGTACAAGTCACATGCCCACAAAGCTGGTCCTACTGGCACATCTAGCTAAGAATTTAAAAACCTTTATTTGCAGTCTTATTAGTATTTTTTTTTTAAGAAATTAAAGCTTGACTATCACCTCACAAATTCTACAGAAACAAAAAATTCCCCAAACCGAACCTGATTGGTGCAATTATATGAATTCTCATGTCTACCATAGTCATGCTATTGTTGTTAGGTACCTTTGAGTCGATTTTCGACTCATGGTGCCCCAGTGCTACAGAGGCGAACTGCCCCATAGGGTTTTCTAGGCTATTATCTCAATGCGAGCAAATTACCAGGTCTTTCACCTGCAGAGCTGCGGGGTGAGTTTGACCTGCCAACATTTCAGTTAGCAGCCGAGCTCTTAACTGTTGTGCCACCAGGGCTTCTAACATAGCTGTAAAAACCCACCAAGCCCATTGCCATTGAGTCGATTTCGACTCATAGCGACCCTATAGGATGGAGTAGAACTGCCCCATAGGTTTCCAAGGAGCACCTGGTAGATTCGAACTGCCGGCTTTTTGGTTAGCAGCTGCGCTCTTAAGCACTGTGCCACCAGGGCTCCAACATAGCTATAGGCACATACAACATACTTAGTGGATATTGATTGGGAGGGCAGGTGGGTTGGGAAAAGGATTTGGGCTCTATTCTCAGCTCTGCATTAACCGGTTGAAGGATAGTAGGCACATCACTTAGTTGCTCTGGGCCTTGATTTGCTAAACTAAAAAGTGAGGGAGAGACCATAGATCATCTACAGTATTCCATAATTCTGTGCTTTGGTAATGTCATCAAGAGTTATTAGGGTTGGAATTTTAGTCATATAGTTATTAATCACATCAGATGACAAAATGGTAGATAATCACACAATAATGGGAATCCTGGCCTTAGCCAAGTTGATACACATTTTAGGGGGACACAATTCAATCCATAACAGCAGGTGTTGCCCAAAGAGACAAAGCATCATATTTCCAACATTGATCATAAATTCTGATTAATTAGAAATGGTTTCCCAAAGGTTAGGCTGAATAGCATTGGAATTAGAACTTGACAAATAACTCAAAATAGATCCTTAATCATTCAAATACGCATTTATTCAATGCTGTCTATGGGCAAATCACCATGCTAAGATGTTTTAGACAAAAGAAGGATGTCATAGAAGTGATGAAACAGAATTTCTGATTTTAAGGACTTCAATCTAACCTGGAAAAGACACATACATAGCTAACTCTAACATGAGATTGAAGGATCAGGACTCAAAAAAGGTATCAAACAAGTGGTAGACTTGAATAGAAAAGGTAAGATTAATTTTAAGTAGGACACTTTTGGGAGATCTCATGGACATGATGGTTTCTAAGCTAGGCTTGGAAGGATAGGTATCACTCTGAGGGGCACAGATGAGGGGAAAGGGAACTCAAGACCAAAGCAACAACCTGTGCAAAGCTTCAGGGTGTATTTTTTTAGGAAGGACTAGTCATCCAACATGCCTCAATAACAATGTTGTTATTAGCTGCTGTTGAGTTGGTCCCAACTCGTGCTGACCCCATGTACAATGAATTGAAATGCTGTGCATTACAGAGCAGTCAAGGACTGGACAAATGTTCCAGCGTGATCTACATGGTTTTCATTGGCTAATTTTCAGCGATAGATCACCAGGCCTTTCTTAGTCTTCTGTCTTAGTCTGGAAGCTCTGCTGAAATCTGTTCATCATCATAGCAACATGCAAGCCACCACTGACAGGTGGATGGTGGCTGCACATGGGGTGCGTGGGCTGGGAGTCATTGGTGGTTCAGTGGTAGAATTCTGGCCTCCCATGTGGGATACCTGGGCTCAATAACAATAGATAACATTTATTGAGTGCTTACTATATGCCAGACAAAATTTGAAGCTATTGTTATTGTTGTCATCAAGTCTCATGGTGACCCCATTAAGGCCCATTTTACAGATAAGGAAACTGAGTCACATAGAAGTTAAGAAACTTACTCAAGATAACATAGGTAGGTAGTAGTGGAGCCAGGGTTCAAGTCTGCACACATAATCATGATACTGTAGTATATATGCAGGTAGAAATGCAAAATGGACTGCAAGAGTAGAGGGCCTTCTGTGCCATCCCAAAGTATTGCACTTCATAAATTACCAAGGGAAGAGGAAATATCTTTTTATTTGTATTTGAATGGAAAACAAATAAAAAAGAAAAAAAAAGATTCTTTGTTATTAATAATTATTTAGAAGACTTGATTATCTAGAGGTCTCCAATATAGTAGCCAGAACTATACTCTCGAATATGGTAGCCACTATCCATGTGTGGCTATTGAGCATTTGAAGTACAGCTAATCCAAATTGAGATGTGCTGTAGGTGCACAATATACGCCAGATTTAAAGGATGTAGCATGAGAAAAAGAAAATAGAATGTCTCATTAATAATTTTCTATATCGACACATATTGAAGTGATGATATTTTGGATGTATTGGGTTAAATACAATATATTTTATTTTTACATGTTTCTTTTCACTTTTATTAATGGAGCTACTAGACAATTTAAAATTACCTGTATGGCTCACATTGTATTTCCATTGGACATCGCTGGTCTAGAGCAATTTGAAACTTGTGGTAGATATTTGACTAGCCAACTCTGATGAAGGTCTTCCTCACCACATTTGTCTTTTAACCACATTCTTTCCTCGCTTTCTGGTTATTTGCAAGAAAATTTCTAAAAGGCGCCCCCTTTGTAAAGGTTTGAGAGCCCTTAGAATTTCTTTTCCACTTGTTCCCAACCACAAACAAATGATCAAGGTGCTCTGTGGATGAGGAGTCAACACTTTACAAAGGCAAAGAGGAGAGGTGCAAAAAAAAAAAAAAAATTTCCAGCCCCTGAATGGTGTGAAGTAAAAGTGCTTTCAAAGGATTCCGCAAGAATGGCATAGGTGGACATAATGGGTCTGTCTCATCGTCAAAGAACCCAAGGAGTTGAAAGGAAATTCTAACTACAACACCAAATGCCACAAAACCATAGTTATTAATGCAAACTAACTAGCATCCCTGCCTATCTGTCACCATCTCATCTTAAAAAACTTGTGAAAAATACGTAATCCTGATGAGACTTCAATCAGGTATAAATACCAGCAGCTAAAGGAGATGCGGCACATTGTTCTGATCATCAGTGGAGCTACTATTAGGAAGGAAAGATCAGCCGAGTCCTTTGGCCCTGATCACCTCAATACAGGAGCTACTAATTGCAGTGACTTTGGCCTAACTCTCTCTGAAACAATGAATTATGCAAGTTATATCATAGCTTTTCAGCTTTGCCTCATTTTGGGTTTTTCTAGCTGCTGCTGCCAGTCCACCGTTTTGGCAGAGATACAGAACCTGAAGAAGTATCTTGTAAGTATGACCTTTTTAATAATACTTGCTTACGGTTGAAAAGTACTGAATGGGGACTTGCAGTTGTATCTGTGATACGTTGTTATCTCTAGCCCACAGTCATTTTGAGAAAACTTGGTGTTATTTTGTTAATTGTTGACTGGATGATCTAGATATCGTTTTAACCCTCTGCTCCATTCACTGTAAAGACTTAGAGGGACTTCATGCCTTTTTCAAAAGATGGGCATAAGATGGGAACAAAGCATAGCGATGTGTTAAAAATTTTCTGGTGAGAATCCATTCATCAGTTGTGATCAATCAAGTAATCCACATATTGATAAAAATGACTGGCTATCAGTGGTTAAGCAATTGGCTGCTAACTGAACGGTTGGTGGTTTGAACCCACCAGTGGCTCCATGGAAGAAAGATGTGGCAGTCTGCTTCCATAAAGATTACAACCTTGGAAACCCTATGGGGCAGTTCTCTGTCCCATGGGGTCGCTATGAGTTGGAATCGACTCAATGGCAATGGGCTATCAGTTTCTGATGTCTCAGGCTACTATGAAAGGGGCATAAAAGCTCAAGATTAACACTTAAAAATGGTAATAGGAAACAGTTTCTCAGCTAAAGTAAAAGAAGGCAAGTTTCTTAAAACCTTGGCTTAAAAAAAAATCACTTGTACAGCTATTTTTTCTCCAGAAAGTGCTTTTAAAATTGTATTGCCCTATCTATATTTCCTGTGAATTATTCCTTAACTCAGTCACTTGCTGAGATTTTGTAGCAGTTATGATTTTAGTTTATAGTTTTAAAAAAATTTTGTTTTGTTTTGTTTTATGAATTTCTTCTTTAATTTTATTTATAGTTAATGGAAATAGTTACTGCATATTAAATATTTTACTTGTCATAAATTTAGCTATTATAGTAATAGCTGTTATGAAATACTCATACATTCACAAACTATTTTATTCTTGCAAAGTAAAATCAAGTCACTTTTGTAGTGCTTTTTTTTTTGTTTTTTGAACTATCTTGCAAAGCTAACACAATTCTATCATGCTGGAGGGCACAGGTTGATGTTATAGAGACCTGTGCCATAGGGGGCAGTGTTTTCTAGTGGGATAGCTTTGCTGATTTTTTTTACTAGGCTTGAAAAACTTTCTTTAGCTTATTATAGTTATTTGGGGCTGTTCATGTATCACTAGCCTTATTGAGTTCATTTGTGACATTGCAATTAAAGGGTTTCGCTAGAAAATAAGAAAGCGAAAAGAGCATGATAGTCTTTGGCTCTATCTACCGTAATAGCTATTGGAAATAGTAAATTTTAGAACTAAACAGAAGGGTTGACAAGGAAATCAGTGAATATTGTCAGCATCTGAGTTCAGTAAAACTTTGAGTACATTTGTAGGGCAGTTTATGGACTAATTGTAAACCAATTTTTCTCTTCTTTTTTTGTAGAATGCAACTGGTTCAGATGTAGCAGATGGTGGGCCGCTTTTCTTAGATATTTTGAAGAATTGGAAAGAGGTAAGCTGAACATCTCCATTGGGCTAACTTTCTTCCTGCTCATTTTCTGGTGGGTAAATTAACAGCAACCTCTCTGTGCTCTTTTCTCCCAAGGAGAGTGACAAAAAAATAATTCAGAGCCAAATCGTTTCCTTTTACTTCAAAATCTTTAAAAACTTGGAAGGCAACCGGATCATCCAAAAGAGCATGGAGACCCTCAGGGAGGACCTCTATGTTAAGTTCTTCAATAGCAACTCCAGCAAACGGGATGACTTCCTAAAAGTGATGCAGACTCCGGTAAGGTGATCTTAATGCTTTTTAACTCCCAGAAGGTAGAAATTAGCTACTGGGTACAGTTATTAAAGCAATGAAATAAGTCCCTGGTGGAAACACTTCCTTACTAATTCCAGTCTGACTTTGGGTTTCTTTGCAAAGTCAGCATGGGAATCATATAAATTTGTAATCTGGAAAAAATACTAGCATTGTGACTATTGCATAAAGACAGGTGAATGGACACATCCAGGGAGGAAGTAGGTGAATAAATAGAGGAGCCTATTGAGGAGTCCCTGGGTAGTGGAAACAATTCATGTACTCAGCTGCCAACTGAAAGATTGGAGTTTGACTCTACCCAGAGGCTCCTCAGAAGAAAGGCCTGGACATCTATTTCTGAAAAATCACCCAATGAAAACCCTATAGAGTACAGTTCTACTCTGACACACATGGGGTGCCCATGAGTTGGTGTTGACTCTACATCAACTACTTTTTAATTCTTTAATTCTTTCATTGCCCCTTGTTTATGTGATGGAAATTCTCCTACTTTGTATGGGAGGCAACATGTGTTAGTGGAAAGAACAGTGGGAGGGGGTGAGAATATTTGCATTCTCCCCCCAGCTCTGCCACCAAGGGACTGTGTGACCTCAGATGAATCACATGGCTGGTTGGGGCTCAGTTTCCTCATCTTAAAAATAAACATTGGGCTCACTACAGAATTTCTGTGGTCTTCTTTGCCCTACAACTCTACAATGCCATGCATACAAAAGGAGAATGAGATAGGATAGAACTGAGCCCTTTGAAAGGAGCCCTGGTGGTGCAGTGGTTAAGCGCTTAGCTGGTAAAGGAAAAGTTAGTGGTTCAAACCCACTAGCCACTCCGTGGGGGAAAGATGTGGTAGTCAGCTTCCGTTAAGATTTACAGCCTTGGAAACCCTAAGGGGCAGTTCTACTCTGTCCTATACGGTTGCTATGAGTCAGAATCAACTCCATGGCAACGAGTTTGGTACGGAAGGCCTTTGATGAGGCGCTGGGGGCATCCCACTGTCAGGCTCTGGTCAGCCTCTCGGATTGTGCAGCCCAACTAGAGGCAAGGATGTTTGTTATTTGCTTGTTTTTAGAGGGAGAGAGAGAGAGAAAAATCGACTTTATACCTTATGAAAGACTTGTTTTGTCAACTTTTGGATACAAGTACATCTCAGCTAAAGAAACCTTTAGACTACAAAGCTTTATCTCCTGAAGTTGTCTTGAATCTTCTCAGTTAAGACTTTTAGATGCTGAAAGATAGCTTTCCAGCATAAAGACAAAATCATATTTTTCATAACTTTATCTAGTAGACAAAGGCCTCCAGATTCATCTGAGTTTGGCTTTGATATAAATGGGCCTGAACAACAGTGACAGGGGTCCTTTTATAATCTGTTCTCTCAGGATTTGTGCTCACCTTTCACCCTACCTGGTTCTGCCTCTCCCCACCTCTCACGTAAGCCCTCAGGAACTGAAATAAGTGCTAGCTCTTCAGGATTTCTCTAGTCTCCAGTACATTAGATAGTGAAACAATATCTTGCAAAATATAAAACTATCCTGCTTTCCACCAATACAGTGTTTCACAATGTTCAGCAGATTCCCTGTGGTCACAGGCTAGAGGTTGAGACAGCACTTGTTCTAACCCAGTGCTGCCCTAGTCCTGCATCAATCTCTTCATTTCTTAGCAATGCTTTGAACGCTGGAGAGTGAAATTTGTCACTTGCAAATGCACAGCCAGTAGGGAAGTCTGTGCTCCTGTAACTGGGCCTTGCAAGTGAAAATATCTGTTGGTCTCCCCATCCTTCTGGAAGCTCCAGGCCACCTGCTTCACGATGGACAATCTTGAGTGAGCTCTCAACAATTGTCCTCTTTTGCTCTACTGCTAACATATTTTAAGCATGTTATGTCCTTTTAATAATTAGTTGCTGTAGTCTAGACACCTTAGTCATTCTCAGAAATGTGGCAAGGTGACCACAGTGTTTCCAGCATTGGAAAGAAATATAGTGCCAGAGCTAAGATGAAATCACCTAAACGGTCCTATCGGTTAGAGAGAGGAATTGCAATATAGTTCAATTTGCTGATGTAGAAAGCTGGGTACAGGAGAATTTTGCAGTAATTCCTAATTTTAAATGTTATATATCAGTAAATATTGATTACTGCATATGAATATGATGATTTTTAATCACATTATAGTAATGATGAGACTGAACTAATTGTGGAGAAATCAAAAATTATAGTTTTCATCTGTCTTGGACTTGGTGTTTACAAAGTACTTAACCTATAGCGATGGTTCGCAAACTTTGAAGAGTATCAGAAGTGCCTGGGGAATTTAGTGAAGGCACTAAGGCTCAGGCTTCATGCACCTGCGTCTGCAGGTTATTCTCATACACATCAGAAGCTGAGAACCTACTCGTCTGATACTTACAGCAAAGACTAAAGTATAAGGTGACAGGATTGGTAGAGAGCCAAAAAGGTCGTTTAGTATAATCTCCCCATGTTTAGATGATAAAAAAAAGGTTCAGAGAGGTTAAGTGACTGGTTCAAAGTCACAGACTTATTGCATGCACAGGATTCAAACACACAACTGAGAATTCCAGTGCAGCAAATTCAAGGATATGTGATGTGCCCCAACATATTATAGCATAATTAGCAATTTACTCATAATTTGAGCTTTAACTGCTGAAGAAATCAACACTATATGTTCAAGTAATACATTACTAGTGAGAGTCACCTGTTTTTCTTTTTCTTTTGGAAGGAATACTTCCATTTTCACCGAGCATGGCATGAACATGAACAGCTGAGTATCCTGATGCCTGAAATTAATTTTGCTTTCCTTTTTTTTCCCAACAGGTGAATGACCGGAACGTCCAGCGCAAAGCGATAAGTGAGCTCCACAAGGTGATCGATGATCTGTCACCCAAATCTAACCAGAGGAAACGGAAAAGGAGACAGAATCTGTTTCGAGGCCAAAGAGCATCAGAATAATGATCACCCTGCCTGCAATATTTGAATTTTTAAATTGAAATCTATTTATTAATATTTAATATTTTACATTATTTATATGGGGAATATGTTTTTAGACTCATCAATCAAAGATGTATTTATAATGGTAACTTCTATGTAATGAAAATGAATATCTATTAATATATGTATTATTTATAATTCCTGTATCCTGTGACTGTTCCACTTGACCCTTTTCATATGACTAACTAAGCAAGGCTATGTGATTACAAGGCTTTTATCTCAGGGGCCAACCAGGTAGCTGGCTTTAGCAAGACATTGTGGGTTGTGCATTTATTTCAATTGATGATACAATTAACATTTACAAATGGTACCATCCAGTTGCTACCTGTTTGGAACATGTGTGCATTCTAAGCCACTGCTTTGATAGTCTGTCAGATAGCACTTGAATGTGTCAGATGATACGACCTGTCATCCCCTGATAAAAACATAACATCTCGTGTGATTTCATGCCTGGTGCTTTAGACTATTGTTGACAACTGTGACTGTACCCCAATGGAAAGTAACTCATTTATTTAACACATATGAATAAAGTATAATTTTGCAACAATTTATGCTGTATCAGATTTTTTCTAAGTGAGGACTGTGGGGGAATGAAGTATATCATGAATTAGTAGGAGGAAAGGCATTTTTCCCCATGGAAATTTTAAAATTGGATTCCAACCTGGCCAAAAAACAAAACAAAACAAAACAAAACAAGAACAAACCCACTCCCTTCGAGTCAATTCCGACTCATGGTGACCCCACAGGGTTCCAGGGCTGTCAATCTCTATGGAAGGTGACTGCCAAATCTTTCTCCCAAGGAGCCTCTGGTGGTTTCCAGCGGCTGACATTTTGGTTAGCCGTCATTTGCTTTAACCATTGCACCACCAGGGCTCCTTAAAATTGGATTAAACCCCATTAAAAGCAGTGCTTCTCTCCATTGACAGTGGTGGACCTTCACTGCTTTAGTTGGCAGCTGTCTGAGTTATCTTTCTGTGATACAGATTTAGTTATATCATCATTCACTTTAGAGCTTCTGTTATAAAAAACAGTCCAAACTGCTTATCTTGGCACAGAAGGCTTTATTTCTAACCCCTCCCCCAACTCCCCACCCCACCCCTCATCTTGCCCTTGCTCTCCCCATTCCCACCTTGAGCAAACATCCTTAGGTATGGGATGGTCAGTGTGAGTTCTAGACAGAAAGGCCTTTTCTGGAATCTGGGTTCTGCCATTACAAGAAGTATGACCTTTAATGAATTATTTATGTTCTCTAAGCTTCAGTTTCTTTGTCTGAAAAAGAGGAATAACTGTGCCTTCCTCATTATGTTGTGGACAGAGTTCATTCTTTCACTCACAAAATATTTATTGGAGCACTTACAATGTGCCTGGTGCTGTTCCAGGTGCTTGAGATACCTTAGTAAACAAAATAAACAAGGATACCTGCCCTTGGGGAGTTTAGAATTAAGCAAGGAGGAGATAGGCAATAAACAAAATATATGATAAGTCAGTAAATTGTATGTATGTTAGAAGGTGAGAAATACTGTGGAAAAAAGTAACAGTAGACAGGATGGGGGAATTGGGAATATTATAAGTGAGGTGGGGTGGGAGGGTTAGAGGTTTAAATAGGTGGACCATAGTAGGTCTCATTGAAGACATCGCGTTTAAGGAAGCACTTGGAAGAAGTAAGGGAGGTAGCCGTTTGGATTCCAGGGATTAGGATGTGGACATGTTTGGGGGGCTATTATGCGGCCTACTACAGGGAGGCAGCCCGGTATGGGGAGTCAGAGCTTCAGCAGCTGAGGAGGGCTTCCACGTGGAAGAATGGCCAGTAGTGTAGTGAGCTGTGAGAGTTCAAGCAGGTTAAGAAGGATGTCCATGGAGTGGGGTGGCCAGTGTGCGGGGTCAGAGTCGAGTGAGGGGAATATTGATTAATTAAGTAGATATATTAAGGATAATTGGAGCCAAGTTTCTTACTGTTGGAGAAGGAAGTTACAAGTATAGAAAGAGAGAAAATTAGAATAAACTCTATGATATTGAATTGGAGTTGGATGTATCAGTATACACTTAGGGTATATATACATATATATATGTATATATATACACACACACACACATACAGACAGAGAGAAAGAAGTAACATGATAAATGTAGATATATGTCCGTTTGTATATATATCCCTTAGCTGTGTCCATTGAGAGGGTCTGGGAGAAACAACATTGCAATAACATTGAGAATACCTACTACCCAGATAGATCTTGGCTTCTAAATACCATTCTCTACTAAAAGGAACCAGGGTTCCTTGGAGAGGTGGCTGATTCCAGGGCTGAATAGGGAAAATACAAGATAAGCCTTAACTGTACTAGAAAGCCAGGGAGTGCTCAGAGAATGATGGAGACATGTCAAAAGGCACAGAAGCTAGCTTGAAGGGCCTCCCAGTGGCCAAATCTGGGACAATTTGAGCATCAAAATAAACAGTGATAGTCATCTATTTTAAACTGTTGAATAAAATAAGAAACCGTTTATACCAGGTAGATACTGATCTAAATGAGTAAATGAAGGAATGCGATATGTACATAGTTTTAAGGTACTTCTCTACAAAATATTATTAATTACAAATGGGAAAAGAGTAATTTTTTTTTTTTTTAATATTTTATT